TATCTCATCTAATTTTTTGCCTCTTTCAGTTTAAAACTATTTCCCCTCATCCTATGGCTCTCCTCCCTGATCCAGAGTCCTCCCCATCTCTCCTGGAGCCCCTTTAGGGACTGGAAGGGGCTCTAAGGTCTCCCTGGAGCCTTCTCTTCTCCAGGCTGAACCCCCCAACTCTCTCAGCCTGTCCTCACAGCAGAGGGGCTCCCAGAAACCCTGGAAGTCCTCTACACACATCCCATGAGACGATCTGGATCAGAAAACCTGAATGGCTGAGGGATGGACAAGGAGGTGGGAAACGACAGCTCACACACCTCATGAAGCAGAGATCTGCCCCATTCTCTGTGCTTACTACACATCCTCATGCTGACACGCTGTGGGGACAAGAAGCAGAACAAGACACGACTGCTGCTTCAGCTGGCACCACCACACCTGGAAATCACAGCCTCTGAGTCAGAATGGCTTCCTGGTGAGGCTGCACAGGGCGCAGAACCCATGAAAGTTCAAGGGTGGTGTTTGAAAATACTTTTAACCACTAAAAGCAGCTGTGCCCCATCTCTTCCACCTGGCTGTTCATTCATATCTCCAGGTCACCTTCCCTTTCTCACTTGCATAAATAAGGGTGTGGAAAGGAGAACAAATAGCAACTTTTTTTTTTTTCCCCCCATACTGGATTAGTTTCAACTCGAATCAGCTCCCTGATCTGATTCACTGTCTGGCCACGCAAATGTTCATGCCAGTATAAGCAAAAACATTGCAGGGACAGAACAAAAGGCCAGAGGTAGCAATAGAGCGGGACCAGTTCTTTCAGAGATTGTATCAGCTTAAAAGTGTTTGCAAATCCAAGCTCTAAGAGCATAAATGTTTGCACCTCAGCCACTTAACGCCTGATGTTGAAAACCCTGCAAGAAGAATTGGAAAAATGTGAAAGCGATGACTTTGCTTGTAGATATAGGAAACGGAGTAATAGGTTTGTGTTATTTTCATTGTAGCCTCGAGTTCCTAACCATGTTATTAGTATAATTAGTAAATGTTAGCAAATTAGACAACTGAAGTAGGTAAACTCAAACGCAGTAAGGATTATAAGGATGAACAGCATAAACTCAAAAAAAAAATAATAAATCTTTGGACTCTCCCAAACCACAGTAAGAAGGATCCTGCAGGAAAGGAACTCCTCCATCCCTGGCCACCAGATAATATCCCTTCAGTCATCTTTCTAACAAAGGCTGCTCCTGAAGCACCGGGTGAGCGTTTAGGTTCTTACGGTATTAGCTACCCACATCATCTGCACGTTCTGCCTTGCCAGATGGCCTGTAATCTGGTCTCCCTTGAAGCTGAAAGCATCCCATTAAAACTCCTAATTGGGGTAATATATTCATAAAGTAATGACCTCAGTCTGTGTTTCTCAAAGTGGGTTACATCATCCAAAAGGATCACGAGAAAGCTCTAAGGCAATCAATAAGAGCCATGAAAACCCAACTGTATTTAAAAAAAACAACAAAACAAACCATAAAAATATATAAAATTATAGAAAATGTGTGATGATAATAAAACCAAATTATACTTAAACATATTGACAGCAAAAGCAAGTTCCTCAAGTCTGAGGGAGTGTTGTACAACTGCAGACTGCTCACAGCCAACTCGTACCCCTCTCTGTGGAGGAGGAGGAGGAGTTTCCACTGGCAATTAATGAAAGTTGGATTTTTCTCAGGCTTGTATGGGAGAAGGGAAGGTAAAGGGCTAAGGCAGGTAATAACAGATGTGGAATTTTTTTTTTTTTTTTGAAAAAATAATATTGATTTAAATAATTTTTGAAGAACTGACATTATAGAAATTTGGTAGATTTTTTAGAACTTTGCAAGGTCCAGCCTAGCACTGTGTTTTGAAATAATTTTGCTAATATCCACCCTTCAAGAAGAGCAGAATTAAGTCCTGCACCAATCACTAATGGAAATTCCATCTGTAACATTTTCAACCTTGAGTTTTTAAATAGACAAGGAGGGAACAACCACGAGTAAGACCTTCTGAATGTACAGTCTGTTGCACTAAGGTCTAGCCTGTGGCTCACAGTTTATTGGGTTGGTTTGAGAAATTTAACAAGATTGGCCAGTTTTACTTCTATGTCTCCAATGTCCTGTGGACAACCTGAAACTTCAGTTTTATCAAAGGTAGCTTTGGACAGAGGCACACAGTAGGAGCAATACTAGAAAGAGAATGGAAAAAAAAAAAAAAGAACAGGTAATAGAGAAGCTGTTTAGAATAATTAGCTATGGGATGCAACAGGAGAGTCAATGGGCCTTCCCTCAAACATTTTGCTGACATAAATTCAGGCAGAAGGCAGTGAACACGAAACATCTTTAGTCACCTCTTCCTCCCTAACACATGGGAGCAGGTTTCTATCAAGTTGCCATTTACAGGTCCTGGAATTCCACTTTACCCACCCTGTTTTCCAGGCATCTATCCATTTGGTCGTCCTCCTAGCAGTGGGTACAGTTTTTTCTCCCTCATTAGGCTTCTTTATCCAGTAAGAGAGATAATTAATCAAATTATAATCAATACAGGGGAAAGAGTAAAGGACTCTTCCTTCTTCTAGCATAGCCACTGCCCGATAGAAATGAAACAGTTCAAATCCAAAAAGCATATTAAACACATCTGAATTATTACACCCCTAATAAAGCGGGGCAAAACCTGCTTTCTGGTAAGGCTTTCCCCCTAATTATTAGTGACCTCTATACTAGAGATTTCAATAGCATCAAAACAACGCATGCACTCCAGTCAGATGAAGTTACAATCTCCATGTTTGGCACATCAGAGAAACGGGTGCACTTACAAGATTCTTAGCCATTTACCTCCCAGACACTCAAGAGCACTCTCAGCACAACACTTCGCAAAACACAGGGTACAAAACTAAAATATACCACTTGACAAAATAAGAAGTTTCACTGAAATTGCTACAAAGCAACACGTTTATTAGTGTAACAGGAACCAAATGCAATACTCAACCACAGATGGAAACCGCTTTCAGTACACCAAAGTCCAAAGTACACAATTTTTGCCATCCATCATACACATTAACATAATATAAAGAAACCTAGCTAATTGCACGTATTTGGCCCAGCCACAGAAAGACATGTGTGCAGATGATACATACAACTCTTCTCTATTGAGTGGAAGCATTAGTGTTTGCAGTATATTAACAATTTTCAAGAGAATTCCAAGACAATGCAGTTCAAGCCTCACTGTCTTACGTGCGTGTGAAGCAGAACTTCAGCTCATGAACAGCTCATAATATTCAGGAATTCACCTTTAATGCTCAGAAGTAGCATTTAAAAGTAAAGAAAATATTTAACCTCTTTCTGAAAAAAAAAAAAAAGGCAGGAAAGCTACTAGAAGGAGATTTTTAGAACTGATTAAAGGCTTTGAGCGTGCATGAAATAAAAGCGCACAATTATCAGAGCAGTGATCTGAAAGCACTTTCAAAACACCCAGAAATGCAGACTGCCTGCTTTAAATTTTACAGCTTTAAGTTTTAACTTCTTTGGCCTTGGCCAAAACTATAAAGACAAGTTTCCTCTGATAATAGCATTTAGATTCAGAAGCAAATAATTTACTGTCTCCACCTTTTGAACTTGATCAAGTATGTCCCTATTTTTTAAAATTTAGGAATGTTTAACAGCACACGTAAGATAGAGAACTCTCATTGTTATTCCAATAAAGTGGGGCTATAAAAGCCCAGATGAGGTTATTGTGTGGGATTCAGTTCAAAGTTAAATGTCCACCTCATAGAATCACAGGATGGTTAGAGTTGGAAAGGACCTTAAAGACCATCCAGTTCCAAGCCCCCCCGCCATGGGCAGGGACACCTCCCACCAGACCAGGTTGCTCCAAGCCCCATCCAGCCTGGCCTTGAACCCCTCCAGGGATGGGACAGCCACAGCTTCTGGGCAACCTGGGCCAGGCTCTCACCACCCTCACAGCAAAGAATTTCTTCCTGATACCTAATCTAAATCACCTTTCTTTCAGTTTAGCTATCTATTGTCCCATTCTAATCATCAGAGCTCCATTCCAACCCAACCAAAAGGGCTTAAGTCACCTCATCTTCAAAGCAGACACCCAATCAGTCAGCTACATTGCACTTCACATTACATTGACTGCATCTAGAAGATACCTACTGACTACAAAGCAGCTTAGACATCTCAGGTTGATTCCCTTGCCCATACATTTGAGATGCCATGGGGTAATAAACCCTTGTCTCCAGCTTTTCTTTTGCAGAAGGGCATTGGTCTCCTACTGGCCATGCCATGTCTACTGACCTTGTGCAGTTGTCTCTGCTAACCTCAAGCATCATAAATGGCCACAGACACCTTACTATTTTCAAAGTACACAGCACTGCTAGCATAGATGCAGGAACCTACATTCAGGTATTGATCTCAAATGGAATCTCTTCTGTTATGTTACTAAAGACAATTTCTGAGAAAATAGAAAAAGGTATGAATTATTATGAAGTAATAAGTGCATAAAAAGAAGATAAAAACTTTCAGGAATATATTTATTTCAGTAAGTCTAACAAGCACAGTATTTAAAATTTTCCTATAGTTTTGTATGGTTTAGACATAATTCCCATGCAATTAAAAATACATGTAGAAACAGATGTAGTCATTTTCTACCAGCAGATTTTCTTGTAAGCCTTTTAAAGCCAATAACGTTATACCAAAGGGCAAATTTTGCCCAGCATTTTGATTTCCCATCCCCTTTCCAATTACTACAAAATACAGCATTATTTATAGCCTGAAATGTGTTCTACAACATTCTTAGAACTACAGTACGTTTGCCAGATCTCTCATACAAGTTACTGAAAATCAGAAATCGTTACTTTAGCGACGCTTTTTTCACAAGAGATCTTTCCCTGCTCCCAGTTATGCTTTAGAAGCTTCTCAGGAAGCTCTAATCAAGGTGAACCTTCTTATATAACCAATATTTGAATAAATAAATTGAAAAATACTTACGGTTGACATGATCAATATAGTATACACCAATCTGAGGATCATATGCAGCTTCCCATCCCCACGGCAGTTCATCCCCAACACAATCCGCAAATGACAAGGGCTTTGTTAACCTAAAAACAAAGAAACAAGATAATGGCATAGCTTTTCTCGCTTCCATACGTGTTTGTTATTCATATTAATTCTGTTCTGATAATAACTAAAGAAAGATTGCCAGGAGAAAGGAGAGCAAGTTGTTTTCTCATTCTTAAAGTTTAGGCTTTTGATTGTTTTTCCCTATTCCATCCTTCTGAATTCATTAACTCAAAAAAACATAATACAAGTTATTGCAAACGTTTTTCAGTACAGGCACTCAAGTGAGAAATTCACTGCAACATCTTTCACATTTGACAGTTTAAAATTAAACAATAACCAATAGCTTGTAGAAAAAGACATTTATACTTCTATTTGTCCAGAAGAACTGGACCCTTCAACCTTGAGTCTGTGATGAGAGCACAGGATTTCAAGGTCATCTTCTCTAATGACCACAGATGGGGAAACTCAGAGAAGAGCACGCAACCATCTCGGATGCACATACTTGAATAAAATCAGCAGCAGCATGGAGAAGGAGCACAAAGAGTACACATTTTATAAGTAACATTTAATGAGCCTTCAGATGCCCAAATGGTACCTTTCTAGGAAGAGAGACAATTAAAGTTTTTCATTTTCATAATGGAGCATCTATTTGTTACAAGAAATAGATTGATAACAAGAATTCATGGGCTCTTTTCCAACAACTTTTCCACAGCTGAGCAAAGCTTTACATCATATTTTTGCCACCTTTTTTTTTTTTTTAATGAATATTGAGTTTCCTGTTGATAAACCCACAGATAAATGCCATGTGCTTTTCATCTGCACTCCTCACCGATTTTATTATCAATCAGACACTGACTTCTTACTATTATAGCACATTCTGTAGGTCAGACCACTCTGGCCATGGGGATGTTCCCTCCAGGTGTTATCACCTGTCAGATATCAGACACCATGAAAAATAGCAGCCAATCTCCCATCCCAGCCACTCCATAAATTAAAGTGACACTAAAAAAACTGTGGAAAAGCACTTGAGTGACCCACTCTGGACCTTAAACAAAAGAAGAAGAAGGAGACAGAGACCCCAGAAAACAGGCAGTAGGGGGACAAATTACTCTATAAATTCTGCTCTGCTGGATCAAGCTTGGCCATTGCAGCCTTAAGACTGACAAAGTAGACTTTTAAAACACAAAAAAGTTTGTACATAACAAGATCACAATTACTTGAGTGTTACAACCCCACAACTCTCTTTTTTTGTTCCAGATTCTTTCAGTAGCACAAGATTTTTCAGCCTGACACAGATTTACAATTCAGAAGCAATCAGCACAAAGCGATACCCCATTGCTTGGCGCCCTCAGAACTGTCTCAAACTAAACAGGATTTTCAAAAATCCTTTCAAGATACATCTGGAAAATGGATGAGATTAACATGACATGAAGTAAAATGCCAGAGAAAATTTGCAGGACAAAAGTTGAAAGGAAAGAGAGTTACAAGATGTAATTGGAAAGGAAATAATACTTAGAGCAAGGACTGAAGGAATCTTGTCCGTGTGAAGATCATTATCACAACCTATGATAGATGGATTGCCATTATGTTCATTAACCATGACCCAAGAAAAATGAGGTTTATTGCACCATAATAGAGGATTAAGTGCTGCATCTCAGGGCACTGATACTCTGAGGTAGTTCATAACACTTTTTCAGTTTGTAGTCATCAATTGACATGTTCTTAGAAGAATGCCCATACTCTAGAAAGAATGACTTAAAGTCCACATTTTGTATAGTATGAAGTTTATTTCATTAAGAAAAGGTGGGGTTTTTTTTAAATGCATATCGTTAAGCTCAAGTATTCTCACCTATGGGCACCTTTTTTTTTTAACCTTGTAGAACTCCTTCCAAGTGAAGACTCATGTATTAGCCTTTAACTCCTATATAACATTTTTACCTACTGAACCCTATATAACACTCCCATTTCAGCACCTGGACTCAAATGATACTCCCCAGCCAGGAGAACAAGAAGTGGGTGTGCGTAACGAGAAGTGGCTACTCTTCAGATAACCAGGAAATATTCTGTAATTCCATTATGTAAACAGTATATAATTATGTTATTGCCAATCACTTCACAGATGCCCTGGGAAACCTGGGAGACAAATACTGCTTACAAACTGAGAAGCTGTATTACCACCTCATTTTTCTTTAAAGTTTTCAAAATACAAAGTTAACTAAGATCTTATAACGTAGATTCTACGATGATGTATGTTATCTTTAATAGTCGCTACGGCCTCTGCAGTGATGCCTATAAGAATGTCTCTATATGCATCTAGAGTTAATAAAGAGGATGATGATGCTGTAAAATGGAACCATAACTACAGGCTGATGGATTGTCCGGGCAATATTGTTCCATTTGGACAACTTTCTTGCTTGATGCACTCCCTAGACCACAAAAATAGGAGAAGAAAGGTTTCTTCCTAAGGCCAGGGCCTACAAAAAATGAGACATTCACAACATATATTAGTGAATGTTATCTTTCTGCTGAGATACAAGCAGCCCACAGTATTTCATGCTTCTGTGATCTGAGATTATCAATGTGCGTGTTCTTAAAAACATGAATGCATGTGTATGTATATATACACACTCACATGCTATTTTCAACACGTTGTTCTATACAAGAGTAATGCTGTGTTCCTTCTCTGGCTCCTTTTTTTCCTCCAAAATCCATCCAGGATTAAATCAATGGTAACACTGAACCAGAGGTTATCCATATCATGATTAGGACTCTACTTTATCAATAGGAAACTCTGGACTTTGGTCTTTGCTCTCTTCTGAACTCAGCTGATACCAGCATCACTCACCTCCTTGGTGTACTTCAAGGATTTTATCCACATGTTGAAGGACTACGTGGGTACAGTTTGACCTGTTTTGCTTAGATAGAACTACTTGCATCAATTTTTTAAGACTGATTTATTGTGATTTATAATAGATACGGTGGAGGGTGTAGGGAAGAAAGAAAGTTTACAGTAGGCAGAGATCAGAAAACTGGGGGGACAGGGAAGAGGGGGGAAGAGACACAGACCAAAAAACACCAAACCACAACAAATCTTTTCCTAAATTAGAAAGCAATAAAATGCAGGTTGGTAGCAGGTACATAACTACCTGAGAATTACATACAGGTTCACCTTAATCTCTTTCAAAATTACTTCCAAGAATACCTCCTTTGCTGTGTGGTGCTTGACCTATAATCAAGATTTGGAGTTTTGAATTCAATTATAACTACAGTCAACGTGCAACTTCTAAAGCAACATCAAGATGCATTTGAAAACTTTCTCCAAATCCTAATTATCCCCTACTCAAAATGACCTCCTGTTCTTTGCCACCTAGCAAGGTATTGTATGACACTTCTATGAAGCACTGTACTGATTAAATTTCACACCCATTCATCCTCATACATAATGAGGCACATCCCATTATTTATTTTCTCTTACAATGCAGTACTCACTAGTACCTTTCCTAGACAGAAACTGTTCTGAAAAATGTACCTCTTTTCCACACTCTAGGAATTGAGAACACAGAACAAAAGTTACTATTTAGAAGTACAGGAATGAGCAGCTATTAAAACATATCAGAAGAAACCCAACAGAAGCACAGAACAGGAACATATGATCAGCATCAGCTAATTTCTTATTTTGCAAAAGAATGACTGAAGGCATTTTTTTTAATTATTATTTAGTTTATCTAATGTATTTTGATCCAGTAGTTGAAGACCAGCAAATGTAAAAATTCAAATCACATAATCAGGCAAAGGAATGTATAACTGGAAGAAGAAAAATGTTCTAAATTCTTCACTAGAACTCCTGAATTTAGTGCTCAAGTTGGATCTTAAAATCAATTCAATCCTTACCCAACTTTCTAATGCTATAGGCATAATGACTTTGAAGGATCTATAAACATGCCTTCTAATCCCATCTCAAATACCCTCCCAAACATGGATTTTACTCACTTCAGGCACGCAAGATGGATTTCTTACATAAAACTCAGGGCTGCAATTCATCTCATTACCTTCAGAAGTTAGTTATCTAACCCAGATTAGTCCTTCAGGTTCCCTTAGAGAGGCTGATTCAGCACATCTGTTTAGATTGAAGATGAAGCACACTGAAGGTTCCCCCCTTTTTCTGGTGATGACAGGAGAAGTCCGATTGCAGGCTCCTTGGCCTATAGAAGGTAACCTAACTAAATTATAAGCAGGATGAATACTATAGCAGGCAGCAGAGAGAGAGCATATAGAACAGCAAAAGAGACCAAGCTCCATGTTACAGGTCAGAGTTGAAGAGATCCATTGCCAGTACCTATGGCTGAGGTCAGGATCCATTCACAGCCAGAAAGTTACATTACATCGGGAAGACAATTTTCTCTTCTGGATTACAGTGGCCTAAACTGCAACAAAATGCATTTAATTTCTATTACTAATACTGCTGTCACTTTCCTAACTTTATAAAGTGGTAACTGGGCCATTTACCTGTGGAAAGGGACAGAATTTGCATGCCCGTAAAACACCCTTTTGCCATATTCTTTGTTCATTCAATTCTATAAACCAGCAAATCCCACGCACAATCTCTCTCTCTCTCAAAAAAAGCTCATGAATGAGCCTGTTGATGGGATTTCAGCTTCTAAACACCGTGTTCTTAACACAGTAGTGCCTCCCATTCGGCTCCCAGGCCAAGACATTATGTACAGCCTTTGTATCGCTTCGGTACATTCTCTTTTAATAAGGGTATTATTAAGATATACTGCCCCTTTATTACAGGTATTATTTTGAAAGAATAACTAAGTGACCATCAGTACTGCCTTGGAACACGTCAAACAAGGAGTAGCTCGGTGGCAGCTCCTGCTTTAGAACAGTGGTGTGAAATAAATAAATATTGTAAGGTCATCCATCTCTACCTTCTTCACCTTGTTACCTTTTCTACACCAACACAGAATTACTAACAGCAGTTCAAACTAAATGTGACCTCATTCTTTAATCATGAAAAATTCTCACTAACCTTAAA